TACCGCGGCACGAAATCATGAAGAAGCTGGAATAACTCAGAAAGAGAGTGGCGCCTAGCCGTTGAGAGCGTCTGTTGTCTTTGTAGAGCAACAGTTACTCAATTTCATTAGGGTCGAGGATGGATGAAACCAATCRTCAGTGCAAATCGCGCAAGCGAAGCCGGGAAACGGACCGCTGCGCAACTTATAAATATGTTAATTAAACAATAATTTAATAACAAAACATATTTCTATTAATAAATGTCAACAAATTTTTAATGAAAATAATAAATTGATACTTTTTAAAATATGAAAATATAAAATATAAAAAGTTCAATAAAAAAATACATAAGATATAAATCGGAGAATTTTATAATACTACAGAGTATTAATTTAACCAATAAACTATTTAGTAATTTCTATAATTATTTTTAAAAAATATTTAATAGAAATAGTTTTGTGTTTAGTTTACAACAAGAAAGGACATTCAGTCCAAAATCCCGCTTATTCAGGTGTTTAGTTTTCAAACGTGGTTAATAAAATACTAACGCAGTTAATAATTTTTTTTGCAAAATTTAAAATTAAATCATAATATTTATGATTGTGAAGCGGGCCGATACGCCACTAATTGATTACCTTCTATCTTGTCAGCGGTCAGAAATCGGAAGAAATTATCGATGATCTCAGGATTTGCGAGAAGGGGAATGAGTAATTTTGTTGGAGGAAGTATTACTGTTCTTTCGTGATTGCTCGAGTTATTGTAGTTGAAGACCGACCAACATTAAAGAAAAGAATTGGCGCTTTGTTTTTAGCTTTCATGGGAGATTAATTGGGCTTTCCCAGAAATTTTCGTATTCGATTCGTTTTCTCTTTCGATCGAGGCTCTGGGAGGAGACAAAGATCGCTGAAAATTTCAATTTAGTTGGAGGTGAAGATGGCATCAGCAGGATTTGCCCGTCAGACAAGTTGGTTTAGCCGGAAGATCGTCGATCCTCTCCTCAAAATCCTCCAGAGGTTCTTTCTCTCACTGCGGGTTTGAACTGTGAAATATGTTATTTTTCTTTGAGCAACTAAGGTTGTTGGATAGGAATTTGACGAACCCTGTTCTTAATTTGGTATAATCTGGCTATTTTTAATCTGAGGAATCTGATATTGCACGGCATTTTACAGTTCTTTGTTTCGAAGTATATCTTGATTCCATTTTGAGTTTCTGGCCATCTATTATGGAATGGGAAGCATATCTCTGGGGAGAAATTAAGAACTGCTGGTTTCATTTATTCCAAGATTTGTTTTTCCATTTTATTTTTCATGGATCATAGGAGTTGTTTTTCCTACTTCTTTTCTCATTGAGATAAATAGTTCAAAACTATTGTCTTAATTTTCTGACGATAGGCCTTGAAGAAATTACTAAAACTTTTTTATTCTCTCTTTTTGGTTTTGTTGCTTAAGGGGTGCAGAGCCAAAACAATTGGCATTCTCGGCAGCTCTCGGCCTAACCCTGGGATTGTTTCCTATATGCGGTATATAATCCTTTACAACAGAGAGACTAATGGATTCTGTTTCTTTCACATTTGAAGTGCATTATGTTTCTTAAGATGTGAAGCTTTAATGTGGTAAAGTTTATATTAAGAAAGGGTAGAAACTCTACTCTCTTTGTTATTTCTGTATCTTTTCCCTGTGTATCATTGCTTCAACAATCTTTGTTTATTATATTATTGGTGTTAAATGCTTAGTAGTATTTAAATGCTTAGTTAGACATAAATTTTCAAGCAGACCTAGTCTTAGAACCAGTAGATAACATTGGAGGCTGAAAAAAGATCAAATGTGAAAATAGGTGAGTATAATTTAGGTACTTGTGGGCATTGCTATTCTTTTTAGATAGAAACCAAAATAATATAAAATTTTAAGGCCATATGGTATCGGGGCTATGGTGGAAGCCCCTTCCTCTTATTATTTTTCATGGTTATTTTTTCATTGATCAATAAACTCTTTTTTTTAGGGTAAGAACCTGTTAGAGATGCAGAATCATTCTCTACTTCAGTTTATATGGTTATATCTAAATATATCTATGTTAAATAATGTGTGAAGTTCGTAGTGCCATTAATTTGACATTCTGTCTTTCGTTAACACAGGGGTCACTGTCTTCCTATGTGGGTTTGCAATTGCATTGCTTGGATCTCTTTGTCATGCTCCAACAGTGATGCTTGCTAACTTTATTGCTACTCCCATAGAATTGAGGTACTTGTATGGTTTCAGTATTTATTGCTACAAAAAGCGAACTCCGGAGAGTTGGATCTTATCCTCATATTCTGATGTGAAGTGGTATTTCTATTTCAGACATAAATAGATCAGTTCATAAAATACTGTTATAGTTGTCCAACTCGTCATAGGAAAAAATGAATGTTATAGATAAGATATTTTGCCTATATATGCATGCATTTTTTGAGCCAGATGCTTGATGATGTTTCATCCTTCTCATCTATTTTTTTCTATTTTTTTTTCTTTGCTCCAAAGTTTGGTGGTGCCTTTCTTGCGCTTTGGTGAAGCCATTTCTGGGGGACCTCGTTTCCCATTTACACCTGATGCTTTGAAGAAAATTTTTACTGGCCAAGCTTCGTATGAAGTGCTATTGAGTATTGCTCATTTGGTAAGGTTTCTACTATACATACTAATATCAGTGTTCTGCATGCATGGTTATCATTGTTACTCTTTTTGTCTCTCCCCAGGATTAGACTATAAGATCACCTTTTAGTTGCAGTCCTCAAGATCAAATACTTTGATTAATGATTGAATTGAGACCTGTGTATTCTATTTAAGAAGATAGACGAGTTTATTCTAACAGATGCTTAGAGAACTGTTGTCAGCTAAAGTACACATAATTATTTTATCTCAGGTTCTGTTGACACTAAATCTTCACTCTTGCTTGTTAAAACTCATAATTACGTTTTAGATCTCTTCAAGGTGCATATTAGAATACAAGATTGTGAAAGATGCCTATGAGTTAGAGAAGTTAGACTTCTGTTGGTGCAAAGATATTCACAAAAACTTAGTATAACGAACCAATGAAGAGAGAAAGAAAGAGAAGGGGGGAGGGTGGGAGGGGTATATGTGGAAGAGAGGTTCGAGGTTTAGTTTACATAAAAGGATGTTAATGCTTGGCGGCTTGCCTCAAGTATGAAAGTGATAGAAACTACATTCTATTATTTGTAGTGAGGAATTACAAGGGACCAAAGGAATGATTAGGGAGCTCCATGATCTCTCCCAAATAGTCCCAGACAAAATAGCCAAAAAATACCCCTCTATCTCAAGGTGTATATATATATATACCTTAAATAAAACACCCATCCTACCACTTCTCCAACGTACGTGGTCCCTCCATTCTAACGGATTTCTTCCCTTTTCTCTGTCATACTAGCATTTCCCTTCTTCCTACAATAAACATTCTTGACCTTAGACCTATCAGGAAGCATGTATTATGTAAGTCTCAACGTGTTAGAAGAGTGTAATAAGCAACACCTCTTACAGCCTTACTCGACTTCCTAGGAACCCGCACATTAGAGTGAATGGACAACTTGCCTATCCCTTCTCAAAAAGAAAGCCAACTCGGGTATCGTCTTCCCATTATGAAAGCTTTCATTTTGCATTCTTGTGTCCTTATCTTTCTTTTGAATGAAAGCTTGCACAATAGGTTGACAATAGAGTGGTCAAGAATAAGATGCAACTTCTCGTGTACTGGTCATTTCATTTATTTTATGGTATTAAACAATGATGAAATAGGTACGATGCACAAGCTTAGTTTATTATCTTCTACAACTGTCAATTTCTCTTTCTTTCAACATTGAGTTGCTTGTTGCATTTTATAATAGTCATTTGTGTTCTGCTCCCTTTTTCCCCAATAATCTTATTCTAAGAAATTAAATGAACATCAGTCATCGTTTTTTGCTTTATCTGCCAAGTAAGTCTGGATAACGGAACCAACCTTCCTTGAAAGCAACTGCAATACTAAATATATCAGTTGAATGTTTTAGCCCCACAATAACACCAAGCTACCAATATGAGAATTTTAGCTCCTACGTCGATTTTGTTCAGTTGTTGTTTGGTTGCTTTATTCAAATTAATAAACTGGATTGAATTTTTCTATCAATATTGGCAGTTGTTGGGATGGCTTGTCGCTGCACCCTTCATTTTGTGCACTGGATATCTACTGTTTTTACCATGTTTCAAGATTTTGGTCAGTAAGTTCAGCACTGTTTCTTCAAGCCCAAGGAAGCCAACTAATTCACACTCTGATGCTAAACTGAAGGCGAGGGATATCTAATTTAAGCATCATAGAATTGGTGTTTTCCTGGCTACTCTCTTTAACGTGGGGGCCTTCTTTGTGTGTATTACTGTGGCGTTACTTGCTCGGTCGAATTCCCAGTCTCTGCTTTCAGTTTCTTTGCTTTGCAATGGTATGACTGCAATTTTCTCGGTGAAATTTTGATCAAGATATCATAATAGCTGGGCTGGCTACTACTTATTTCACCGCATTATTGTATCGAATGCAGCCTACCTTCCTTCACCAATCAAACTTTAGGGATAGAAAAATGTCAACTTCGTGAAATTAAGGACGAAAATGAGATTTAATCCAAGCGCTTATGGACCACAGAGGTAATGTATCATTTTCAACATCTTAATGGTGTTTGGTGGCATATTAAATAAAGTGAATTTGAAATTTTTTTATTTTTACTTAATTTTTATTTTGGCCATCTTGACTCCACAATTGATGTGGTTCCAATTAGAAAGTTCCTAGCAAAACTTTGGCGCAACTTGCCTGAGCCCTCTCTTTCTGCACATATATATTCCAAAGTGTCTTCACTCGAGTTCTCTGTAAAATGCCTTTTTTCTCAAAAATATTGATCTCACAAAATTGGAACTTAAAAAATTTATCCATGGATTTGATTATTGAAAATGAATTAGAATTCATTTGATTAGGGTGACGTTGATCCTTATGCCCTACTTCCAGTCGAAGGAAACACGGGAATTGTTTCTTGGTTGTTATGTGGACTCGGACGCAAGCCAAACGCCAGATGTTCAACCAATGTTGGTTTTGCATAAAATTAATTAAAAATATTAAAGCACATAGATACGATGATCAAGAACATACGAAACGTCGATAGAGTAAAATCCTCACCGATTTATGGCCCTTCACCCCAAGTCATCCAGCCATCGGCAAGTCAATATGAGAAGCCCACGCATTTGTCCTCTCCGCTTTTACGAACTCCATACCATTTCTTCGTTATTTCCTCTCCGCTGCATTTCCCCTCCATTCTCTCCCAGATTCGGATGCCTCTGCCGGTGATTCTTCATAGAAAATTTTCACGATCGGCGGTGCAAATTTGCGAGAGGTTATTCTTCTATTTTTGCCTTTTTTTAATATCGGGCGTAATGGATGTTTAGTTCGATTCCCACAAGCAGTTCAGTTGCTAAAGTTCAGGAATTGACGGTTTAGGTGTTTGTTTATTTTATCGAGAACTCAACTGACTTCATCGTTGACTGCTAGCTGGTCTTGGTTTTTATTTTTTTTTATTTGATTATTTGCTATTTGGGTTGGTTTCTGTTCATCTCTTCTGTTCGATTTTTATATTGTTTCTTATTTAGAACTGTTCGTGCCTGTGAAGGCGATCTGCTAAATCGATTGTGCTCGACTTGTTTTCTGTGTTTTACTCTTCTAATGGCAGAATATTCAACCTAGCAGAGCAGGCTGGTTTCTTCTGAACTCTTAGCAAAAAGAAAAACTCCGTCGGCTCTTCTTTAATTGTTTTGGATCTGTTGCCGACATATTACTCGCAACTTGTTTGGTTTCTGGAAGAATTCGCCAAAAAGCACTTGCAATTTTGGCGCTCGAAAAGCCAGATTGATGAATATCAGATACTTCGCAAAGAAAGGTGGATAGCGAAAGAGTGTTTGTATATAGCCTTGACTTATAGGAGTTTCTTCTGTGTGCTGCTGAATTTTCTGGTAATCTTCCATCCTTCAAATGGATCCGACTCATAGCAAAATTTACTACTGTTCTGTTTCAAGGGGCGAGCGTATGCTCCATGTGTACAGTAGTGGTGACCAGGAGATCGAGAATTTGGCTACTTTGTGCTTGAAAAGTGCTCCTCCCTATCACAAATGGTATTTCGAGACATTGGGTAAAAAGACTTTTGGGTTCTTGATGAAAGAAGGGTATATTTACTTTGCAATTGCTGGTGAAGTCGTTGGTAATCGGGCTCTTCTCCAGTTTCTGGAGCAGTTGAGAGATGAATTCAAAAAGGCAGCAAAGAAGGGTTCACGGGGGAGTTTCTCAAGTGTGAACTCCATTAGTCTGCAGGAACAGCTAGTGCCTGCAATTCGTAATTTAATCACCTCACTGGAGAATGTCACCCAGAGTAGTAAGGATTGGATTGCTGAAACACCATCCTCAAACAATGCTCTATCTCCATCCCCGAGTAACATGAACGGCCAGGTCGATGTTTCGGCTTCCACGAAAGCCCCTCTGTTGGGGAAGCCGAGCAAACCAGAGAAGAAAAAGGGGAAGGACCATGTGATTACAATGAGAGGTATTGAGATGGAGGAGCACAGAAAGTCTACAGATAGAGGTTCGAAGACTGATTCAGCTTCTTTGGAATCCAGTAATCTGGGTGGATCCGGGTCTTCAATTCCGGTGCAGAAAGACTTGAATCCGTTGAGGAGATCGAACTCCCAAAGCATCCGGATAAGGTGGTGGCGTCATGTGAGGATCGCCCTTGCTGTCGATGCTGCTGTATGTCTGATATTGTTTGTCATTTGGTTGATTGTCTGTAATGGAATTTCTTGTGTCCGCTGAGAATGTACATGGAGATTGAAAGATGGCAATGGGGGAGGATTAGCAAGGGAGATATTGATATACTAAACCGTTATACAATACAATGTCGTAAACGAGGCTTTCAAATGTTCCTGAAGGCCTCGTCTCTCAATTCAAACTTCTGGCAAATCTACAGCAGATGCAGAATCCAAAGTTGTATCATTGTATGTATATATCTTATATGCCGACGAATTATTCATAGATTTGTGAGTTCTTATAATGCTTATTGTTATTGTACCAATAGGTTCTCGGTTTTGAGGATTTCTGCAGCATACTGTTACTTCTGTGATCTTGTTGATTTCTGCAACATAGGTTTCACTCAATTTCTTCCATGGATTTAGACGGCTGTGATCTTGTTGTTTCCAAACTTCCAATGCATATTAGTTTAGTATAACTCTGGAGATCCAAGACGACGAATGATCTTGATTTGATTTTGATCTCTCTTTTCTGATTTGACGTGGAAATGGTTTTTAACGTTTAAACTTTCAAAAGAGAAGATTGGATGGATAAGCTTGAACTTTCTATACGGAGGATGATCGGGATGTTTTTTTTAGTGAAGTACTAAAGTTCTTTTTTCGTTTCTCAAAAATATTAGTTGTTACTATCAAATAATGATTGCTAGTTTTTTAATATTATATTTACAATTACCTTATGAATGAGCTATTTCATGTTTTAAATATTTTTTTGGTAAATGAAACGACTATTAAAATTTTTAATCAAATTATACAAATGATTTATTTATTTATTTATTTTTGTTTACCAAAGAGTGGGCCCAGGTATTTGACTGTGGACACTTAAGGAAGTTATTGGTATCTTTCTCAAAAGCATATACGCCAAATTAGAGCCAACTACATGCAAATAAAAAGTGGAGTTTAACTCCTAATAATGCATATACTTGAGCAAAATTGTAATATTTTATTCAATTCTTAATGTTATCTATATTTGTGAGAAAAATCAAATTTAATAAAACGTTATTGAGGTTATATATATTTGTATTTTTTACTTCTATGAAGCATGAGAATTTTAAGCTTCAATTTGGAACGAGTAGATATCATTGGATATTTTTATCATAGCAATCAATATTTTTTTAAATTATTTTTGTTGATAAGACATGAGAGGATATTTTCTTTCATAGAAATCGATTTTTTTTTTAAAAATAATTTTGTTGAGAAGACGTCAGAGGAAATTCTTAATTTACCATCTAAATGGCATTGTTATTTTATCGAAGGAAATAGTTGTTTCTAAAATGTAATACATGAATAATTTTTCAAAAGAAGTTATTATCTTTTAATTTATTTTGATATATGTCAGACTCTTTTTTTTATTTTATACATATTTTTTAGCACGAGAATTTGAAATGTGACTTGAAGGGGAGGATGTCGTTTACCATACTTTAGTTAACTTTTTCTTCTTATATTATTATGAATAAATAATGGAGATGTTTGCTAATATTGTTTTATCACGTCACTAAAAGATTGATTAAAGTTGATAAAAGGAACGTTCCAAGTAATCCAGAATTATAGATCTTATTCCGTAGGTCGCAAAAAAATAAAAAAACTAATTTCCAAATTTTCAGAACTAAAATAATTTGGATTTATAATTTCTTTTTTGACGGATTAAAAAAAAACTATATTCCATAGAAACAGCAAATAAATTCGTGGGGTGTGAAATATGGAGTTAGGAATAGGAGTGATTCATAATTATTTATGTTAAAAATGAGAAAAAAAAACTACTATAAATATTTTAGTTTTAGCGGTAGACCAAAAACAAAAAAATGAAAATGCATTTCTCAAAAGAGAAAAAGAAAAGGAAATGCAAATTATTGAAAAGAAAAGTAAAAGTAAATAGAAGCCGGCATATTTTTACATTCTCGCGGGTGCTACGTTGTCGACGATACCATGAACTGCTTGAATTATCTCTCTTCCGATAAAACTTGCTGTCTGCAAATTCAATCCTCCGAGGAAGAAAAATATTTCTCATTTTCTCTACAGTATTGAAGAAATCACAAACGTCCAGTTGTTTACATTAATTTTAGATCGATTTCGGAATTCTGTGGCGCAACTGAGGGATTGGAGAAGAAAGCGCCTCTGCTGGCTCCGGTGTTCGAACCCCTCTCCGATCTGCAAAACCCTTAGATTCCCACCGGATTCTTCCATCTTTCTCAGCTTCTTAAAACATATGCAAGGCGTCGGGTCAGTGTGGATTTAGCTAGCATTTTTCAGTGATACGCAATTCCGCATTTGTACTTAAATTGATGCGTATCCTTATTTGATCTCGACGGTTATTTTCTTACTTGGTGAACGACCAAGTGATCGTCAACTTTGAATTTAAGCAGCTCAGACTTTGCATTTCCATGACCCGATTGGTTTGTTGTGAATCTAGATCGCGCTGGCGGACTGTCTGTTGAGCATTCTTGGCCAATTCGAACGGGATGGCCGATACTGCGATCGACCAAGTGGTATGGTTAATTTATTTTCGTTCTAATATTTCCTACGCGCTTCTCGGTTGGACTGCCGAAGAACGCAAATTAGATGAATCACGACGATGTTTTAATTGGTATGAAAGGCGAGGATATTGGTATCGGCTGCAAGATCTTTCTTAAGTGAACATTAAGAATGATTCTACATTATGGATGTTTGCTGTGCAGTATTCGCATGAATACAAACTCGATTACAATTCAGTTTTTGACCTTGAACATATTGTATATGTATATCATGCTTCTTTACGTACTGCAGAGTCACTCTTACGATGAAGCCAACAAGACGCCGAAGAATGTATTTGACTTGGAATCATTTGTTGGGGACTTGACTGTCGAGGAAGATGCTTGCAGGTAGGTCTATGGCTCATGTTTCTTATTCCTGTAGGAAGCACGCACAGTATCTTCTTTCTCAGGCATCCTAACAACATTTATGGCCAGATGATTGCAGAGTGGGTTGAGATTGTCATTAAATATTAATTAACAAGAATAGCATGAGTTTTTTTAATTTAATTTTTATTTTTGTGGTTTTCAAGTTTATTACCTTCTACTATTGGATTACCAAATTGTTCCTGTTTTACAGCGATGACATATCATTGGAAGGGCTGCAGCAAGAACTCCAAGAATGTAAAGATGATGATGTAAGTTATTTCTAACTCTTGTGTAAAATTTTTATTATTAAGACCTATATCCTCACAATCATGATTAGTGCGTTTACATCATGTGAGTAGTGTCTTTTTCCCCAATCATCCTGTTGGTTTGGGATGTTTACCCCTTTTGTATACGTTCATTTCATTGCATTAATGAAATCGTCTCTTTTCCAAAAAAATTTTCAAAGTTTATATATTGTGTAATTTAATAACGACTCTCATTCGGTATGACTGCAGGCGAGAAATCTGCAAATCTCTTAAAACTTTTTTGATTATGGAACTTAAAAAGTTCAATTATTTTTAGATAACATCAATATAACATTTCAAAATAATTTTTCCTTTTTACAGGCTCCTTTTGGGTGAACTTTTATTCTCTTTTTATTGCCGGTTTGTATTTTTCATTTGTCTAAATGAAAGCTTGGTTTTTCATAAAAATAAAATATTTAGAAATATCCTTTTTTTTTTCTCTCTCTCTGTAGGCATCAAATATATAATCTATGACTAATGTGCTTACTTGGTTTTATTGTACTTTATGACTAGTAAGATGAAGGGTAATTGAAGAATTTGAACTTAAAATTGACTTATACTTGGTCACAATTACCCTTTATCAGTGCTTAGTTGGACTGTCGTAGCTTCTTTTTGGTCTCATGTTATAGTTTGAAACTGACATATATATTTCTCCGGAATTGAAATTGTGACCTACCTTTGTGGGGTAATTTATGTGATAATTCAGCACCGCTTCAACTATCCTACTGAAGGTTATACAATTTTACGTTAGGTTATCTCTGATTCTTTAAGCATCAAGAGATCTCTGGGGCCACATGAAATGCATTCCAATCCTTAATAGACCTAAAATCTTAGATGGACTCGATTTTAACAGTTCCCTCAATTTGCTTTTGTTGTAAGATCAGCAATACGTATCTAGAGCTAGAAACTCTTTCGTATGGTTCATTTATAGTCAGGGTAATGTGATAAATTAATCCAATATTAGAGATGTATTTCTTATATATAAAAGTACTAGAGATGTGTAGTCTATCTCTGGTTTCCGTATACTTGTCATGCTGCCTGTTTGGGAAGTTTGCATAATGTACTGTCACACTTTTTTGCTGTTACCTCTGTATTTTGCTAAGGTTGAAGTTGATTTGAGTTTTTCTTATTAATCAGGTAGTGTCAAACATACTTTCGAAAGGTGTGAAACTAAGGGAGTATACAAAGGGAGTTGAGAATAATTTGCGGCAGGTTGAGTTGGATTCTATACAGGTTTGTCGTCTTTTCGTAATCTTTTTAGTTCCCAATTATAGCTCTACGATCTTTGGCATTCGTTTCTTTCCAAAAATGAATACACTATCCTGCCTCGTCTGTGATTAAGCATTGTTATAGACATCTGTGTGTTGTCTGTTTAGTGTTGAGGTAGTGCTTTGGCAAAAAAAAACATGCTAAGAAAGTAATACTTGTCGTTATCATAATTGGCTATTATTTTATTTCCCTCTCATTAATATTTTTATTTTCAGATACAACTTTAAAGACGTACGATTTGCATGTCAGGAGTAGTTAATGAGGTTATTTAAAATAAATTGGGTGCTAACTATGACGTGGGTTTATGCTTCATAAAAAGAAAATATTGGTTTATGTTTGGTTAGAATTTCGTGATCTGAGTTTGTTTTTCATGCCTCCAGATGGCTAAGTTATTGTGGTTATTCCTTTTTTTATAATTTGCAACACTTGCAGAGATCTTTTGTAATCTTCATGCCCCTGCAGGTGGGGGATATTTTCATCTTCCTTTTTCCTTGAATGTCTCTTTTCAATATATTGTTTCTTATATTGCACGTATAAATTTTAAGCGCGCGCTTAACTTGTGTGTGCAATTATACAGAAATGCAGATGTGTCTGTGGTCCATTGGTTACAGTACTAAGAGCTCACTTTTAATTTTCATACCTTGCAGGAATATATTAAAGAAAGTGATAACTTAGTCTCACTTCATGAGCAAATTCGTGACTGTGATAACATTTTATCACAGATGGAAACTCTTCTCAGTGGTTTCCAGGTACTTTGGCCCCTTGTTTTGACACTACTTCATTTTCGTTTCTGTTTACTGTTTTGTTTATATTTTCACTCCTTCGACGGTTTGTACTTTTGAACAATTTTCTATTCCTTTTCATTAAATCAATGAAAACTTTGTTTCTTGTTTTAAAAAAAAACACTATAAACC